GAGAATGCCGATTCGAGAAATCTGGAACAAAAAATATTTGAACACAGGCTCAACAAAGTAATCTAAGAAAAGAACACCAGGATTTATGTGGAAAAACTTTGGAATGGGAAAAAAACTATTGAGCCACACCACACCAATCTTTCAATATGAATGGGAGATACGTACAAATTATACCACTCAGATCTTCTTTCTGTAATCACTAGAACTTATAGAATTTTGCTCTAAATTTCTCTTGATTGCACAAGAGAAATTACACGCTGAAACCCTCCTCGATCCTTTTCCGCTTCTTGAAAGCCTTGCTAGAAACACCGCACACAAGAGAGAGAAGATGACGCTCTGAATCGAGGACTTAAGAAACGAACAAGAGAAACAGTTCCGACGGCATAGGCACGCCTAGAAGAGGTGTTACTATTTTCATCGCTTGGCCATCCGCTCTTGGAATGAGCTAATCATCAGCGTAGCTATGCCCAATTGCGGCTTAGTTATGCCGCCTGACGTAGCTATGCAAGTTTTGGCGCAAGTACGCCTTGATAATAGTCTCCACACTCAACAATCTCTCACTTGAAGATTGATTGCACCTAACACTTGTCTTCTAGATCTGTATTTTCATTTGTACCTTCTTCATAGCCACGTACTGCATTGTGGCTCATTTCCAATCTCAACCTTCTTGGATTCCAACTGAAACCAAGCATCACTCCAGTTTCTCAGTAGTTGCCACTTTTGTTAACATATCTGCAGGATTCTGAGTTGTATGCATTTCTCCAAAAGTAACTGTCCATCTACTAGGTGAGAACAAATAATGTGATACCTTAACATACATTGGACTTCCAATTGTTGAAGCATACGAAGTTCTTCTCATCTGTGCTTGCCCTGGTTTAGACTTAAGCGATAGTTCCTTATATAGCTTGAAGTGACTACCCAAGAGGGTGCAAACTGGTTTTGTCTCACCCCATGTTAAACCTCTGTAGGATCTTTTCAACATACTCCACCTGAGAAAACTAAGTGTCCATGTACTTTTTTCCATTTTGATTCTCATCCTGAGAATATTTCTAGTTGGACCTAAATTTTTCATCTCGAACTCATTTGATAATTCTTTACTTAAGTTTATAATTTATAATTAACTTGTCATCCACATACAAAATAAAAAAGATATAAAAAATACCAAATTTTTTTATAAAGTAATAGTGGTCTACCCGATAGCTCATGTACCCACTGTCTGACATGAACCTATCAAACCTTCTGTACTACCATTTTGAGACTCGCTTTAAGCCATAGCGTCTCTTCTTCAACTTGCAGGACAAATCTTCTTTCCTTGGAACCTCGTAAACTTGAGGTTGCACTATACATGCTAGTTCATTTTCTAGATCTCCTTGTAAAAAGGTTGTCTTTACGTCTATCTATTCCAGATGTAGATCATCTTTTACTCTCAAGCTCAGTACAACTTTAACAGTTGTCATCTTTACCACACGAGAAAAAATCTCAGTGTAGTCCAATCCTTTATGTTGAAACTCCTTCAAAACAAAACTTGCTTGTAGTGCCTGCAACCATCCGACTTATCTTTCAGACTGTAGACACATTTATTGTGTAGTGTTATTTTACCATCTAGTAATACTACCAAATCTTAGATCATTTCTTATTCCAACGACTGTATTTTATCATCGATGGCAACCTCACACTCTTTTGAATCATCAACTTGAGCGACCTCCTCATAGCACTCTAGTTCACCACTATCTATTAATAATAAATAGTACATAAATGGAGAATACCTCTATGTTAGTTGAGTAGCCCTGCTGAGCCTCTTGGCTTTAATAACAAGTGACTGAGGAACTTTCTATGTTTCGTCTGATCTTGTACTTCTACTTTCTCTTTTTGACAACCCAAACTCTTAACCATTAATGTATTATCCATTTTGGTCCAATAGCCTCGCGGTTTTTCTCTATCAGTGTAACTTTCCAGGAGGTCGCACATCCTAGAAGTGTTCCATGATGAGCACGCTTAACTTTGAGGTTTCTATTAAAATTTTTCCGTTGCACCAAAAGGTGTCTTGATGTTGAAGAGTTCGACTTCATTCAATTTAAGGGGTTTCACAATCTCTCACACATAAGTAGCTGAAGTCCTTGTCAGGTTTCTTGCCCAGTATCATTCACCAAACATATTGGATTTTAGAGGTGTCCCCTACAGATTCAAGAGGTGGCTATCACCATCTAACACTTTGTCCTATTTTTGGTTCAAGAGGCGGCTTCCATGGCGTAGCATTTTGTTCTGTATGTCACTTAATTTCCATCTTCTGACAAGTGTAATGCTTTGATACAATTTTTGATAGCCTGAACTCTCACCCATCAAGATAGTGTTAGCTTTGGCCAAATGACATCACGGTTTTGATCCGTTGGTGTAACTTTTTTCGAGGTCACCCATCCTTGGAGTGCTCCATGATGAATACGCTTAACTTTGGAGTTTCTATTGAAATTCCATCTTCACACCAAAAGACGCATCGATGTTTAAGAGTCGGCTTCATTCTGCTTAAAGTGTTTCACATTCCTCTCTCTTGATCACTGATATCTTCTATCTCAACATTTTTGGAATCTTCATAAGTAACTGACGGACAATCCTGAATTCTGATTTTGTCATTGTACATCTTCATTTCATTGAAAGTATCATGCCTGCTTTTAATGAATTTCTGATTTTGATACTCCTTAAATTTGTATCCAAATCTATTGGAGCCATACCCGATGAAGGTGCACTTGATATATTTCAAGTCACAATTACTTATGGACGACACATCAACATGTACATATGCAGAATATTCAAATACCTTCAAGTGAGTTAGTTTTACCTCTTTGTCACTCATGAAATATTACGTATGCTTTTCTTCAAAGATATTGATGGACCACGATTATTTAGATAAACAATAGGATTCACTGCTTTTGCCCAGAACTGTCTTGACAAGCTTGCATGCAACCTCATACCTTTAGTACGCTTCGTGATGGTTCTGTTCATGCGCTCAACTACTCAATGTTACTGTGGAGTTCTTGGAACAATGAACTCATATCTAATCCCTTCTGAAGCATAATAATTCTTAAATTTATGATCATGATACTCATCTCTATTATTTGATATGAGTAACTTCAACTTTAAGCCTGCATTATTTTTTACCTCAATCTTCTACTTCTTAAACACTTCAAATATACCAGAATTTTATTTTAAGAAGTAAACTCATATTCTTCTGATGTGATCATCAATACATGTGGCAAAGTAGTGAGAACCTCCAGTGGAATGAATTCGAGTAGGATCCCATACGTTTAAGCTTGCTTCATTTTCTACCTTGGCCTTCCACTTTTTAAACACTTCAAATTTGCTAGATTTTTGTTTTAAGAAGTATACTCATTTATTTCTAATGTTATCATTAATATTATGACAAAATAGTGAGAACTTCTAATGGACTGAATTCAAGTAGGATTTCATACGTTAGTATGCACCAACTCTAATTTTTTTGACTTCTTATTGACCCATCTTTGGAGAAAGAAACTTTTTTCTACTTTTCATATACACATTCTTTGCGGAAATCTAAATCTAAATTTTATTCTTTGAAAGCAGGGACTTCACACGTTTCTCGCTTATATAGCCAAATCTGTGGTGCCATAGACCTAATCCACCTTGGTTCCAACCACATCAATGAACTCCATTATTTCATTGATTAGGTAAAAAGTATCTTCAATATTGCCTTGAGCCATCACCATTGTTCTCATTCACTATATTGAATGCAATAGAAGAGAAAAGTGACAAACGGATCAAATGTAGAGCCATTCGATTCAACTCTTTTCATTCCTCCATTGTCATCTATTTAGGCTTCTTGTGATTCATTGTAGTGGCAAACACAATTTTTTCTGATACAAAAAATTCTCTTTTTGCATCCTCCAGAATAAGAAGCTTGATCTATTGAACCTCCACTTTGTATCTCGCTTTGTCGGCTATTGTTCCCACTCGAATCAACCAATCCGTTCTAATACCACTTGTTGGGATGGAATGTTACTTAAGGTTTCGATTGGTTCACAATGAAAATTCCGGAGCAGAAAATAGAAATACCAATTCAAGAAATCCAGAATAAAAAAATCAAATAGAAAACACAATAAAGTAATCTAAGAAAAACACACATGATTTTACATGGAAACCCCGAGAACGGAGAAAAACTATGAGGCTACATATACCAAGCTTTTACTATGAATGGGAGAAACATACAAATTACACTTCTCAGATCTTCTCTCTACAATGCTAAAACTTATAGAACTTTGCTTCAAATCCCCTCTTGATCTCACAAAAGCCTTGAATCTTTCCACTTCATGAAACCCCCGTCGAGAAACACCACATGCAAGAGAGAGAGGACTCTGCGCCGAATCAAGGACTTAGGAATTGAACAAGAGAAACCGTCCGACGGCGTAGGTATGCCTAAATGAGGCATAATTATTTTGATCGCTCGGTCATCCGCTCCTAAAACGAGTGAAACACCAGCATAGCTATGCCTGGTTATGGGGTAGTTACACCACCCGACGTAGCTACGCCAGTTTTGGCATTGGTAAGCCACGGCATTAGTCTTCATACTCAACAATAAATACATAGGAATTAGGTGGTATGTATGTAAATGCCCCTTTTATTAATCTTATAGTCTATTCTGCTTTTCTTAACCAGCTCAAGCGATATTTTGATGCGTGTAATAGCGAAAAGTCTTCCTCCTTCAACCTCTGTGGAGGAGGTAAGTACCTAAGAGTATATCTTCTCATTTCAACTTTTACCTCCTGTTCCATTGAAAGTAAATTTGTATGGCAATTACATATTCGTGAATATATACACTTTCATAAAGTAGCTAAAGATTAATGGAAACTCTGAAGTTTCAATTGTTTAATATAGGAATAAGAATATCTAGCTGAACTTGGCTTTTTATAGCTCTCTTTATTTCTCTTTACTCACTTTAAAGTGATTGGCTGCTGCAAAAACTACTGTTGAATATTTTTCAGGTCATGACTGCAAATCCTGAATGTGGTACTATTGATACGCCAATCCTTGATGCACTTCAAATCATGAATGATGGAAAATTTCTGCATCTTCCTGTTGTTGATCGAGGTATCTATTTGTTGTTAATCTGATAAAAATATACACCAATTATTATCTGTTATCTGTTTCTTCCCTTTTTATCTGACATACTGTGTTTGTTACCATGCAAAGATGGAAATATTATTTCGGTAATCGATGTAATTCATGTTACAGATGCTGCAGTAGCCATAGTAAGTCATTTTGCCTGCTCTTCTTTCATTATGTTTGCTTTGCTTTATTTTCTAGAGATGTTTTGTCATTTTATCAGTTGAAATAACATTTAGGGGCTGGCTGCTAACAGATTTAAGTGGGATTTAACTTAAATCCACCAGACAGAAAAAAGGGTAAATTTTAAATCCTGGATTTAGTAAATCCAATTTCCTCTCAGTTCTTTTCAGTATTGTTTTAACTCTTGGATTTACTATATCCTGGTCACTACATGATTTTAGCCGATTTCCGACGGCCTCAACCTGTCGGAAGTAATGATATTGTTGTTTGTTCTTGAAAAAAGCGACGACCATCAGAAGGGTAAAGGGCCGCCGTTTTTATGATCAGAAAGTTAATTTCCGATGGCTTTCTGAGTGCTTTTTTGATGGTATCCCGATGGGCCTTGTCTCCTGTTATGGTTTCCGATGAAATCTACCCGTCAACAAGAACTAGCGGCTACTCGTCAGCTTGCTATCGATTTTCGGATTTTGATTGCCCGCCGGAAAATCATTGGTTGGCTATTGGAAAATTGTTTCTAAAAAAAAATAAAGAACCTTCTTTGTTTCATTAGAATTTTCACACTTACAATCACATCAAAAAAAATATATGAAATATACATCACAAAATCTAATTTATCTATTCACATAGGTAATAAACCAGAACCATATGAAGACAATCACAAATTGAAAATAAATGCAGTCATAATGTATTAAACAACAGAAAATGAAATAATTTGTATAGAACTGATACATAACTAGCACTTAAATGTCTCAAGAGAATAAATGAAATAACAACAATCCTAATCCTCATCAGTCTCCTCATCCTCCTCCGACTCCACCTCCACCTCCGTAGGCTACTTCTCTTTTTGATGTGCCTTACGTCCCACTGCCTCCAATTTCATCTTCATTCTCACCTCCATTTGAGGGATTTAAGCGACAACTTGGGTCACTATATTTGCAGTGAATGCTGAGACTTGCCTACGAACTTCACCGATATTTTGGATAGATGTAGAGCTGTGCCCAAAAAAGGAGCGATGTGCATTGTATGCATATCTCCGTGACCCCAAGCCATAAATCCCTTATTTCTTCATCCCCTTACACTCTCTCCAAAGCTCATAGTTTGACTGATCACTATCAGGGATAGAAACTCCTCCTGAGAACTAACTCTGAACCTCCTTTAGCCGCTCGTACTTGATAATCTATCTAGAGTTTGAGTTATTTTCTCTGATTGATAATCTATCTACTGTTTAAATACAACAACAACAACAACAACTAAACCTTTATCCGACTAAGTGGGGTCGGCTACATGAATCCTTTTTCTCCATTGCGTCTTATTTAGTGTCATATTTTTATTTAATTTTAATAAATTAAAATCATTTTTTATACAATATGCCCAAGTCTTTCGAGTTCTACCTCAGACTTTCTTAACATAAGTCGAATCTAAAACATCTAATCTTTTAATCGGATCATCAGATGGTCGACGTTTAATGTGACCAAACCATCTAAGATGACTCTCTCTAATTTTGCCCGTCGCTGGAGCTACACCAACCTTATCATGGATATATTCATTTCGCAGTTTGTCTTCAAGTATAAAGCCACTTATCCACCTAATCATTCTCATCTCGGCAACACTTAACTTAGTTTTATGCTTCTCTTTTAAAGGCCAACATTCAGTGCCATAGAGCATTGCAGGTCTCACCACTTGTTAAACCTCCATCTTTGCCTCTTCTCCTGTGTGTAGTAGGTCATCTTAGGCCCAAAGCATTCCTCCACTTCAACTATCTTCACCCAATCTTTTGTATATGAATTTTCTGAGTTTTAATGTATCACCATCACTTAGAACAATAGACCTGAGATATCTAAAGTGTTCACACCTTTAATAATTTATTCACCCATAGTTACATTTCTGTCACTAGAGCTACTACTACTAAAATTAAACTCCATGTATTCAGTTTTAGTTCTACTCAAACGAAGGCCTTTAGACTCCAAGGTACCGGCCCAAAATCTCCCTAATGTTCTTCCATAATCTAAATTTAAATCTGTCATCTTTATCTAAAGGTTATGAATTTTGTACCCTACATATTTTTGCTAATTTCTCAACATAACTTTTATGTCTAATTGGAAAAAAATATGCAGATTTAGTCAATATGTATCAACTCATACATTATCATGTCCTTATTTTGATCTAGGCAAATGACAAAATTTATTGCTATCTTCTCTCATTTTTATTATGATATTAATAATGGTTGTAAGTGAACTCCCAACCTTTGATGTTCTACTTTAACTAGCTAACATGTTAGAATATTTGACCTAGTTTTATAATTTCTTTTTTTAATCCCGACTACCAATATATTCTCTTAAGCTCCTGATATATTTTATTACTTCCAAATTTCATTGATGATTAATAAATAATTTCACATTAGACTCTATATAAATAATGCTTCCAAATTTTAAGTGCGAACACAATTACTATTAACTCCAAATCATGGACGGGATAATTTTTTTTCATGATTCTTTAATTGTTTAGAAGCATAAGCAATCACTTTTTTATGTTGCATAAGAACACATCGTAATTCCTATATTGATGCACTGCTATAAATTTGAAATCCATCTAATAATAAGGGAATAGTCAATATTAGGATAACCATTAAGCAAATTTTCGGCATTTTGAATGCCTCGCAATGATTTGTCCACTCAAATTTTTTTATTTTTTTTGTGTTATTCTTCATAATGAAAATAATAGACTTGTTGCTGTTGTAGTAGTATTTTAACTTTTAAAAGTGAAATATACTTTTTCTTGTATAGATAAAGTGGCATATAACTAAAAATTGAAATTTAAGTGTTAGATATGTAAATACATGAGAGTGCTATGCATGTAAATTTTCCGTTTTATTTGTGAAAGTTAAAGGGAACTTCATATTTGCATTCAATCAAGGTTGAAAGCACCAGCGGCCTTGGAAATGAAACTGCAGCTTCAATGATGCAGAAATTCTGGGATTCAGCTATGGCCATAGGTCCTTCTGATGAGGAGGAATTGCGGAGGTCTGATGGCTCCCTTTGCATTTTATAATTATATAGCTTTTCCGACAATCATTATTAAAAATAAATACTAACTTGTCTACTTTCTTTCTTTCCAGTGAAGCTTCAATAAAATTTGTTTCTGAAGCTGAAACCAGCAGTTCTCCCGCTTTTTCTTTCTCAGGCGTATCCACTGCGTTTTCCTTCAAGCTAGAAGATAAAAGGGGCAGGATGCACAGATTTAGTTGTGGTATGCCTTTTGTTGCGAACTAATTATTATCAAACAATGTCAATCATCCAGCCTAAAAACTTAATTTTCTGAGTTCGAGGGTTGTGAAACATAATCAAACATGCTTATTTGGTTTCGATAATAAACCTGAACAAATTAATATTGCCTTTATTACTAAACGCAACGCAGGCACATACTGTAAAGAAGAAGTTGGGGTGGGGGGATTCCCAAAATGGTCCCCGACTATTAGGATGTGCCTGTTTAGTCCTAAAGTTGTGCAATGAGAGACAAAATTGTGATCAATTTAATCGAGAAACTAAATTGTGATCATGTTTATCATGATTTATACTTGAGGGATAATTTTGAATCAATTCTCAATAGCAAGGGAACTAAATTGGAACGTTATAAAACTCTAAGACTAAATTGGCCACATCTAAATAATTAAGGGATCATTTCGATATTGAATTTGTAAAAAGGGAGACGTTAATGATTTTGACTTGCTTGTGTTCGCTAAAATAGTAACCGACTATAATGATGTGTCAATTTAGTCACAAAATTATGCAATGAGAGACTAAATTAAGACCAAATTTGTATTGTTAAGTCACTAAATTGAGAACATTTTTGCCATGATTTCGACACGAGGGATTTTGGATTAATTCAATAGTAAGGGGACTAAACTGGAGTGTTGCAAAATCGAGACTAAATTGGCCACATCCAAAGAGTCAGGGGATCATTTTGAGTTTTATTTTGTAAAAACGGATACACGAGGACTGAAGATTTTGGCTTGCGTGTGTTCACTAAAGGATCATTTTGCTTACTATGAGATATAATAGCTAGGAAATTTGTAGGCTTGAATTTGTTTAAGTTTTATGTTGTTGGATAATTAATTACCTTAAAAACTTCGTAGCACAATCAAATTGCAGAAAGAGGTATTGCGATATTAAAAATCACCTGAGACTTCCAATTTTAGATACACGGAGCATGACAGACCTTATAACTTGCATCCTCCAGAAGGTGGGCAATGACATCAACAGGGACAATCTACCACAAATCTTGGTAATAATGGGTTTTGATCTTCTACAATTATCATGATTGCAGAACATGTTCAATTGCTTCATCTCAGCTGTCTAATTCATTTTTAAGTGGCTGTGATTGAATCCATCAAAAAAGAGAAACAATTTAAGGGTTTGATCTTCTTTGCCTAAAGTGAAATGGATGGTTAGGATGAGGCAACTGCGTGTATCGACTATACTCTTTCTTGGGAAATTCACATGCATACCACACAATAACAATTCTTTATGTATTTACATATCTAACACCTAATGTTTGATGTTTACATTTATAACACTTCGGTATCATAAACCTATACATTAAAAGGTGTATTTCACTTTTAAAAATGAATAATAATGATATTTTTTATATATTATTAAAGTTTTGAGTCTTATGCATATAAATATGAAAGTTTGAGTGTTGGATGTATAAACAGGTAAGAATTGTGTGGTATGCATGTAAATGGCCTTTCTTCTTTTGGAGTGGGCAATTGGAATTTCAGCATCCATCTTTATCAAAGACTTGCTACTTTAGTAAAATTTATTTTCTAAAGTATGATTATTGATTTAACTGACTCTTTACTTTTCCTTTGACTTGGACAGTATGAAGACGAGGATCATGACAAGGTAGTTCTCTCAACAGACAGTGACCTTGTAGCAGCCGTGGAACATGCCAAGCTAGCTGGTTGGAAGGTAATATATCCGACTTGTTCTGATTTTTTTTACTGTCACTTTTCTTTTACAAAGGGCAATTGTTTTAAGGCTTTATTAACAAGAAAAAAAACTAGTTTAATTTGCAAAACAATCAATCCTAATAGGAAAGCATGCTTTGCTGAAACTCAGGCATAATTCGAGTTTTTTGAAGGCCTGACATTGTGGTCTTTTGATTAACTCGGATTCTATTATCTGTGATATATTAGATTTATATTTGAATGTCTCATAACAAATTAATAGTCATGCCCATGATTTATAATAAGAAAAGGGAAGTTTTACAATCCATACAGTTCCAATGTATTTACATATCTAACATCTAACTTTTGATGCTTACATTTATAATTGTTTGAAAGCCTTGATTATTTTTTGTTTGTAAATATGATTCATTAGTTTTCTTATTTGTAAAATTTATTATTTATCTTGTAAAGTTTTATAACTATTATCCCTTTTTCATATTTTTAAAAGAAAAAACTAGCCTTTGAGCTCTGAAAATTTACACCCTGGCCTCCCTTGATAGGAATGAGATAGAGTTGTACGTGAAGTTTTGGTTAAAATTCTTAGAAGGTTTCACCCTTAATTTGTCACGACTTTAAGATCTGAGGTTTGAGGTTTCCCATAGATGCAATTTTTAAGATCTACTTAAGGCTATTTATCCAAGCACTAATAATTCAGAATATAGTACCAGTATATATAGATTTTAAGCTTATGAAATTATCACTATGAGTCTAGATTGGATGATTGTGAGAATAATGATGAACCCGATCAAGATCCCATTATTACATAGTCGACCTAACCTGATTGAAGAATCCTCGTCGATAGCTTTGAATGACTTAATTCAAGGGAATGTTATAGACCTAAGGTGGAAGTTTATCTAAGAGGATAAATTTCAGTTGAACTTAATTAATAAAGGATTTTTGGTCATATCTAATATAATTTATGATTCATAACTCAAAAGAGCATGAAGCATTACAGAATTTACGGGTTTAGTTGTTACTTCAATATAGTGGACATTGTTTTGCCAAACCAATTGGTTAGAGGGATCTGTTCCTAATTGCTTTTATAGAACTAATCAGCTAAATCACGCGAATAGAAGACTTCGGCCACATATTTACTAGTTTGAGATTATTTTAATGTGAATGTATTAGTATGCATAATATGACATTAACTTTATGAGCTTAAATTAATTATAAACGTGTCACTGTTGATAGGCTAGTGCAGGATAATGGATGGAATTTGCTTTAAGCTTTAGTGACATTTTATTTAAATCTATATAATGTTAGATTTTGTCATTTGAAAACTTAATAATTTTATTATAGACTATCTCCAATTAAGATTTGTATCAACATGACCATCATCGAGGGTTTAAATAGATAGGTTTAAATCTTATTTATTCGTCCCACTTATAAAAGATCATAATCATAACATAAATTAATTGAGTTTATTTAAATATTTTTTGCTCTTAATTTTAAAAATAAATCCCTTCAATTGAAGTTCACAATCGACATGTAATCATTGAGATGAGTTAATTATTGTGTGCATCATTAATTTTTAATAAAGGTTTATTATTTGAATATTGTTATCATTAGTCATGTCAATTCCGGTTCTCGTGAGGAGAATGATGGAATTGACTTAGTAGAGTTTTATCATGTAAATTGTAATCCTTCTGAAAATGAAGATCATATGAGCCAAGTTGGAGCTCAATTTTGTTAACTATGATGATTCTCATCAGGAGGATTAAATTGATTGAGATGATGTTTATGATCTTGCTCTACGAATCAATAGGGGTGTCAAAAATTTACTAGACCTGCCAACTCAACCCAAACTCAACTCAAAACATATGGGTTCAGATTGATCATAGTAATTTTCTAGATGAGTTGTAGATAGGAACCCTAAATTGTTAATTTTTTTTTTTGGATTGGGTTTAGGTTGACCTTCTAAACTGAAATGGACCTAAAATTGGCCCGTTGATTCAAAATTGACACACTAACTTGAAATTGAACCGCGTTTAACTCAAAATCGACTTAGAATTGACTCAAATTTGATTTAAATATGACTCAATTAACTATTATGTCTTATGTTAGATTAGTTGGTTTGGGTCGGCAGATTAAAGGCAGAGGTGGTTTGGGTTGAATTTTCTGATCTATTTAATATTCAAGTCTCTCTTGGGTCAAGTAGTTTCGGGTCAGGTCAATTGAGGTCAGACCTGGTCCTTAGCCGCGAACCCGATATGATACCCCTATAAATAAGACTGCCCATTTAAAAGCATATGTAATTTAATGATTTTAAATTTGATTCTTGAAAAAAAAAATTATAAAAAATAATTTTTTTTTTTTTTTTTGCATGGTTCTTAAGATAAAACTTATTTTGAACCTGGGTAGCATTTTCAGACATGTTTGGCCATTCAATCAGAGAACACGAAGATGTATCATTTTTTATGATATGCATTTTTTCTTTATTTTTAAAACTAACCGCATAGTATTCTTAAAGGATTAAGTTTAAAAATTTATGAGCATATATGGGTGTTTTAAAGTTGTTAGTTTGGACTGATTTTGGACAATTTTTCATGCCTTTTCACCTGAATTTTAATTTAGCTTTAACTTATATTTAACATGTTCAATATTTTTGGACCAAACATTTGAGCATTTAACACAATGGTTGGAGCACGTTTGAGTTATTTAGCGTAACAGTGCACACATCTTGATGCGCTTCTGCATTTGCAATATGCGTGTATATTTTTTCCAAAGTACTTACATAATTGTTTGCATTGATTTTGAATTGAAATATTGCCTACAAAATTTTTGCAAGCACTAAATAATCTAAATTTTGTTATTTGCACGACTATTTTGCAATTTAAGATAAACAAATATTTAATTTATAAATTTCAAAATTCGAATTCTATTAAGGGTATCAAAAACCGACTCGACACGCCAATTCATCCCAAACTCGACTCGAAAAATTTGGGTTTGGGTTGACCTGAATAATTTTCAAATTCGGATTCGGGTTAGGGATTCTAACCCATTTAATTTTTTTAATTAGGTTCAATTTGACCTGCCAATCTAAAATTAGCCTAAAATTGACCTTCCAACTTAAAATTGACTTGAAATTGATCTATCAAATCAAATTTGTCTCTAAATCGATCAGAAATCTAATCGAATAATCTCTATGCCTTGTGTTAAATGGGTTACACAGGTCAGGTTCGTGTCGATGTGTTGAAGATGGGTCGGATTGGACTTTCTAACCTATGTAGTATTCAGGTTAGGTTCATGTCGACGTGTTGAAGGTGGGTCGGATCAATTTCGGGCAAGACCCAAACCCAATCCACAAACTCAATTTGACAGCCATAATTTTATTTACTTATATATATTAGTTCCTCAATTTTCTTACTCTTTGATGTCGACAAGTACGATAAAGACAAAAAAATTATTAAGCAATAAATGACACAAAATTGAGAAAATTAAATAAAAAATTAGTTCTCCCTTGTTTTTTGTGCTCAGTGATTCCTATAAATAGGACTAGAGGCTTCGCGCTTTCCATTTCTTTATCTGCACCCTGGGTCTCTCGATTGATATCTTGGCCGATGGTTTGAGTAAGAAGGATTTGGACGTCCGCCTTCTAACTTTGGAAGACTTTTGACTTCCTACATATTCTACAGTGGAAAAGAAGATGAAAAAAGTTATTAAGAAAAAGAAGCGGGGGACATTCGAACCCGAGCAGGTTGGTCAGGTTGCCTCTTCGGATAGCCATGTTGCTGGGCCATTGAAGAAAGTGTCGACGACGGATCCGTGTTTAGCCTTCGACCTGAGTGTTGGAGCGGCTGTTGAGGAAAGTGAGCGAGCTACTCCTTCCTCTGGGGTGGTCAAGCGGGATAGAGAGAGAAGTAGATCACTGGCCCTCCCTTGCCCCCTTCGCAAAATAGGGATGGAGGTCCTCCGACTCTAGGAATGAAAAAGCCTTTAATGACCCTTTTTGAAATAGATTGGTTTATGGGCATGTAAAGAGAAGTATTTTCTTAATAATAGCTTGACATTATTTTATCGCCGAAGAGCCAATTGCTCTGGAGGCCCGCACTAAGGGCCGACCATCTAAGAACATTGTCGACTCTGTCCCATCGGTTGATTGGTTGCAGCTGAGCAATTAGGATAAATTTTGGTGCTTCCTCCTACGGCCGAACAAAATTTATGGGCATCGATTATCCACTTTGGTAAATCTCATCAAGAGCCAGTGCAGGGTCGAAAACTGTCCTCTGATTTAATGGAGCGTCGGACGAAGGAGATGGCTGGCCCTTCGACTCGAGCAGTTGAAGTCCCCATTGAAGCTCCTACAAAGTGGTTAGTCCGTTGCGAGCGACTGGAGGCGGAGGTCGCCGTATTTTGACGTGGGTCAGCCGACATTGCTAGGTTGGATGTGAAGGTTGCATCGCTCCAAGGTTTTGTGAGCACTCTGCATGCTAAGTTGGGGCCCATCCGTGAGTCAACCATTTTGAGTTGATTTCACCACAATGTCGACTAGCTGGAGCACGTAAGATTTGGTGGAGAGTTGGTTTTTCAGAGGATGCTTCAGAAGGGGTATGCTTCGGTTGAAGCGGCGGAAGATCCTTTTATTGAAATTTTCTTTCATAATATTTAATCATGTTACTTGCAATAAAATGATATTTAATTAAATTTGAAATGATGTTTGGTATGACACTTATCATTATGTGACACTTCGACTTCCAAGCTCGCATTATAAATTGGGCAAGAGGCGACCTTTTATGCTTTACACTTTCTGGTTTCCTCCTCTTGACCTATTGATTCTTCTCTTTTTCTTTTGCCTTTCGGTCGCTCTGTTGCTCAGTGTTATGATTGCGCTCAAGTACTCCCCCACTCTCTTTTGTTTTTACCCTGCTGTTGATGCCTTGATTTTGTCAGTGGAAGACGTAAAAGATGCAGAGGTTGTACATCTTTGATGGTAGTATCATTCTCTGAAGAATGCAAGAATTG